GTAACAGGGTTATGAATGAGGTAACCATGTTTATAGATACTCATGACACCGATAAACCCTAAACCCTAAACCCTAAACCCTAGACCTTAAACCCTAAACCCTAAACCCTAAACCCAAGACTAGATAGAGCCGGGGCGCTGCACCAGCAGAGCGCACTGTGCGGCCTGGCTCTTGGCAATGAACTCACCTCGCTTCGTGCCGTCCTCCATACCTGGTAGTTTAGGGTTTGGGTCTTGGGGTTTAGGGTTCAGGGTTTAGGGTTTAGGGTTTAGGGTTTAAGGCTTAGGGTTTAGGGTTTAGGATTTCGGGTTCAGGGTTTAGGGCTTTGTGAGGTGTACTAGGGTTTGAGGAGGCTGTGTAGGGTTATGAATTCGACTCTCTGCGCTTTATTTGGGTTTACTAGAGGTTGAAGAGGCTGATAGGGATCTACGAGGTGTTTCGGAAGGGTTTCGTAACAGCTCTTGTTAGGGAAGTTTTTGAATCTTCCATTAGAAATACATGGTGTCCACTACATATCCCGGCTATGGTAACTTCAACGCAGCTCCTCACCAAGAACCCAGCTTCGGGCCAGTGGAGTTCGCGGGTTCAAGGTTTTGGCTTTCGGGGCTTTAGTGCTTGAAGTTTAGGATTTGAGCTTCGGGGTCTTTAGTCGTTGAGGGTTCGGTGTTTTGAGCTTTCGGTGGCTTGGCCTTTTAAGCTTTGGGTTGAGGGTGCGGGGGCTCTTCGGAAAAAGTCTAGGGCTTGGGCTTTACGGCTTAGAACACGACACAGGTTGGTGCTTTGGGGCTACCCATTTCTGAGCGCGGTAAACCCTGAACCCTAGACCCTAAACCTAAACCCTAAACTCTACAATCCTGAACCCTGCAACTCTAAACCCAAAACCTAAACCCTAAGACCCTAAACCCTACAACCCTAACTGCCCAAGCCTGAAAGTCGTAGGGGCTGGGATGTTGAGCTTACGGTTAAGGGCGTCGGATTGAGAGCTTACTAGTTTTAGGGTTTAGGGTTTAGGGTTTAGGGGGTTTGGGGTTTAGGGTTCAGGGTTGGGTTGAATGTAGGGGTCTGAATAATGAGAATAGGGTTTTGGGCTCCTGCATAATGTACTTATAAGAAGGAACCCTAACGGCCCTAACGATAACATTGGTAATTATTTAGGCTTCTATACTAGTCCCCAAGCCCCAAACCCTGAACCCTTAAGCCTAAATCCGACCCAAATGCCGTAGAAATGAACCTCTTTAGGTCTCCTTCGTAGGAGTTGCTTGCATGAGTCCCCTAAAAGGGGTAAGTGCTTTAGTGGCAAGGTGAACTGCTGAGCCCTAAACCCTGAACTTTAAAACCCTACAAACCCTAAACCCTAAACCGGAAACGCTGCTTCCGGGTCGCAGCCCTCAGTGAAGTATTTCTCCTTGTCCTGCTTGGCGAAGAACTTCAAGGCTTTCTGGAACCTCGGCTTGAAAGCGTACTCAGAGGGTCCGGGGCGTAGGTATGGGTCTATACATGGCAGTGAAAAGGCTGGCTAGGATTGTAAGGGAGATAACGATTTTGGGGAAAATGGTCCTATATGGATTGCAGGATTTAGCCCTTAGGGTTAAGGGTTTAGGGTTAAGGGTTTAGGGTTTAGGGTTTAGGGTTTAGGTTAAGGGTTTGGGGTTTAGGGTTTAGGGTTTACTTAAGCCTGAAAGACCAAACCCTCAAGTCACAAGATCTGATTTCCGCCCACCCGACAGCACACTACTGTAAACCCCCAAACCTAAACTCCTCAACCCAACTCTATTTATACTATACTATACTAGACTAGAATACTAGACTAGACTATACTATACTATGCTATACTATACTATACCATACTATACTATACTACACTACACTATACTGTTTATTATACTGGACTCTACTGTACTGTACTGAACTGTACTATACTATACTATACTACACTACACTATACTATACTGTACTATACTATACTGTACAATGCTAAACTGTACTATACTAAGCTGTACTATACGATACTGTACGAGACTATACTATACTGTACTTTACCATATTATACTTGACTGTACTCCACTCTACTCGACTATACTAAACGGCAATATAAGATACTGTACGAGACTATACTATACTATACTATACCATACTGTAGATACTATACTACACCATGCTATCCTACACTGTCCCATACCCGATACTATCCGATAGGGGGCTTCGGGTTTCGGCTTTCGGCTTTGGGGGGTCGGTTTTCAAGTTTTACGAGCTCTTGTCGACGAGGGAAATCAGAATCGGTAGAGTACAGCAAGCAGTGACCCGTCATGCCGAATGGCTAACCGCCACAGTCAATCGGAACAGCCGAGACGAGAGCTGCGTAGACACAGCATCAATTGCCACAATAACACCAAAGCTACGACGATTCAGACAAAAACTGATGCCGTAACTTCTGAACCCTCATAACCCCTCAACACTACAAACCCAAACCTGCAACACAGGGGCCTGAATAGTTAGAGTAGGGTTTTGGGGTCCATGTTCGTATAAATATGTGAGGGATGTAAAGGGGTTCTAGTACTAATCATCCCGACCTAATCATCCCGACCCCTATAGTAACCCGAACACACACACACACACACAGCCGAGGAACCACTCGATGCACTTGTCGAGGTAGGACTCGACCTGCAAACAGTTCCAGCTTCCCCAAATTGCTCAGCCAAGCCGAGTCTAGGGTGTTTAATGGTTCAAAACTCGAGGTTTAGTTTCGGGATCCGGGTTCAGAGTTTAGGGCTTAAGGCTTTAGGCTTTACGGTTTATGGTTTCGGGTTGCTTGTTGCCCCCCTGCACCCTTCACGCGACGCTAAGAGGCCTTGCCCAGCAGCGGCAGTGGCTCCGGGAACGGAACGTACTCCTGTTTGCGCGGTGTAGTTTATACGAGTAAAGAACAAGTTAAGGTGCCCCCTCCTTAAACCCTTAACCCTAAACCTGAACCCTAAACCCGTAACCCTTAGCCTAAACCCTTTTCCGTTGCGGAAGGATCAAACCAACACGCAGGAAGGACACGGGTTCTCGACTAAGCCACGAGGACAGTGGCTAACATATGGAATTAGCCATGGGATCCCCCCATCGCCCCCAAACATGTATGTATGTACGTATGTATGTATGTATGTATGTATGTATGTATGTATGTATGTAATTATGTATGTAGATGTACAGGCATAGGAAATACGTATATGTGTCTGTATATGTATATGCATAGATATGTGTGTATATATATATATACATAGACACCTGCTATAATTTCTAACCCAAGATCCACTTCATTTATTAAGGCACCGACCGTAAACAGATGCTTTCCCAAAGCTGCTGCACATGTAGGTTTTTGGGTCTTGAGATTAGACTTGTGCGTTTTATTGGTCCTGACGGCTTAAACCCCAAGCCCCGCACCCGAATCCCAAACCCTTAAAGCCTAAACCCTAAACCCAAATCCTAAGACCCCAAACCCAAACTCCTAAACCCTAAACCCTAAACCCAAATCCTAAAACCCTAAACCCTAAACGCATGTCGTCTTGGGTGTGGGGGTTTGGGATGGTCGGATCAGGGGGGTGAGATGGTGAAGCGTTAGGGCCAAGTTATTCCTGGTGACGGCCTGGATGCTTTTCCGAGGTATGAGGAGGTTTCACGGCTTAGGGTTTAGGGTTTTAAGTTTTAGGACTTTAGGACTTTTGGACTTTAGGACTTTAGGACTCTAGGGTTTAGGGTTTAGGGTTTTAGGGCTTTAGGACTTGGGGTTCAGCGCAGTGCCGACTTCTGGCGAAAGCGCAAAAAGTGCCGGGACCTGCCATCGAGCCGACATGCCAGGAGTCGCGACTAACCCTATGGCCTCATGTGGATGGTTGTCAAAATTATGGTCCCCTTTTGGGTCCTTATTAGAATACGGCACCTATTATTTAGGGTAGCCAAAAAGGGACCCTAATTTTGACAACTACCCACGTAGATAGTCGTTTGGGGTTTAGGGTTCAGGACTTTAGGGTTCAGGGTTTAGGGTTTAGAAATGGCTGCAATCTTAAACCCTACATCGCTAATTCGCACACCCTTAAATGCAAAGCTCCAGCATTAGTTTTAGGCTCTAAACCCGATTTTGGCGGACCGGGAATTGAGATGAGCGGGGCCTATGATCCAGGGGCCTTGAGCGTTAGAATAGGGATGAATGCGGTATTGACTCTAATAGTTTTCTCCTATAACATATGATGGTATGGCAAAAGTCTATACGGACTATACGGACAGAATACTACAAATTATTCATAGCTCTGCATTATACGGCTGGCTTTGCTATTGCAACAACAGCTACCCAGTCACGAAGTCCGCGAACACTACAGCCCAAACCTTCTGACTCAAAAACCAAACCACATCCGCCAAGCCGTCGCAACGCATACAACCCTAAACCCCGTAAACCCTAAACCCTAAACCCCCCTAAACCCTAAACCCCCCTAAACCCTAAACCCTAAACCCTTAACCTCAAACCCTAAACCCAACCCCAACTCTGGAGGTCTTCCCATGTCAACATGTCTCCTTTCCGACGCAAGCGCTCATGCCGACGGCGTGCGGCCGGTTGTCCTGCGCACGGAGACTCCAGCAATGATAAGCTCCGGATCCCGGGCTCTAACATAGGGGCCTTAGTAATTAGAATAGGGTTTTGGGGTTCCTTTTTTGAGGGTTCCTGAAAGGGTTCTATAAGGGCTACTATAAGGAATGAATTTAGGGGCCTTAGTGATTACAATAGGGTTTGGGGTATACTATAATTGTAAGAAGGAGCCCCCAAAACCCTATTCTGATCATTAAGGCCCTTACATTAAACATCAGGATAAACCCTAAACCCTAAACCCTAAACCCTAAACCCTAAACCCTAAACCCTAAACCCTAAACCCTAAACCCAGGCCCTTACATTAAACATCAGGATAAACCCCCAATCGACCTAGGGTTTGCTGGTAGGGCACGACCTCTCCGGTTTGACTGACTGCTGAAGGGGTCTAGGGTTTAGGGTTTAGGGTTTAGGGTTAAGGGTTTAGGGTTGAGGGTTTAGGGTTTAGGGTCTAGGGTTTAGAGCCAATCGTCTTGGGTTGATGGAGACTTGTCTCCAGCGGCTGCAGAACCCAGATTTTTCCCCCGAATGGATCAGCATGGAAGTACGCGAGTTAAGACTGCCTTTCGAGCGTAATGAGACCGCCTTACGGCAACGAACTGTGCTTGACCTTGCGGCTTCCTCGCAAGCATCACCGTCGTCTCTAAGATCATCGATTCCTGCATCGTCGTTTCCTCCAAACCTATCACCACCATCATCAGAAGCACCAGCACTGCCAGTCGATGCCGTCGCCATAGCCGTAACGGTCCATGTAGCTATGTAGTATATAATCTACTTTGGCCTTAACTTGAAGCAGTTCTTATAGGTCCAAGGCCTCTTAGAGAGAGCTAAAGGCAACAAAAGTGGTCGTGAGCTCCTCTCCGTCCGGGAACTCCAGCGTGTAGCTGTCGATGGCGATGAAGAACTTAGGGAACCTCATGAGGCAGCTGTTTAGGGTTTAGGGTTTA